CCATCCTGCCAGACGTGTGGCAGCAATCAGGAGCTGAAGCTCCTGCAAGGTCACCCGGGGGGAAACGACACCAAGAGCCCAGCAGCTCCTGCATTGCCCGAAGATGCAGAGGGAGATAGCGCGGGCATGGGGGGCCCAGCGGGTTCCACCGTGAGGGATTAGACCAGTTGGGTAACTGGGTCAGAGTGGCTCCAACGAGGGTGACTTCACCTGCAAAAGACAGCAAAGCCGTACTCCTCCCAGCTGACAAGAGATTATTTTCCTAGTTAAGGCAGAGAGGAGTTTGGACCATGGGTGTAGATGTGTAATTTTTCACTATCTGTCCATTAAAAGCCTGTTTGCCTCCAAACCCTGATGCCAAGATTGATGGACTAATTACATCCTGTCTGGCTTGGGGCGTAATTGATACGTGTGTCCTGAGCAGGTTTTCCATTTGATATACTGCAAACCAGAACCAAACCCTCTGAAATCTGTTAGGGATGGAAAAACTGGTTGCAATATTGCAAGGTAAAAGATTTGGATAGGGTGAGGCTCACGGCGAAGCAAGGCTGCGACTAAAAGGCAGCATTTGGGGTCAGTGTGTGCAGAAGTTTGAGAGTGCTTCAGCTGCGTGGCTGGTGGTGGCAGCGTGGTGGTGATGGAAGGGGTCCCACGAGGAGGAGCTGGGCTGGGGCTTGCTGCTACCAAGCTCCGAGGCTGCGGTGGGCTTACAGCATCTTCCTTCACTGAGGAACCAGCTTATCCGAACCTCCGAGATGACTCGATAACCCCCGACGCAAGGGGGCTGCGGGTGGGCAGTCCAGAGCTTACTCTATTTCCAATTCTTCTGGGGAAATCTTCAGTTCCAAGGATGCCTTAAAAAGGCCCAGCTGCCCCTTCTCCTGGAGAGAGCAGCCTAAGGACCAGCACATTCCCATCCACCCAGCAGCTTCCCAGCCCACCTGCCCTCGCTTCCAGCTGAGCCAGCACACCCATGTCACCCCGGGGCAAGGGGGGGTCTCACAGCTTAACACCTCTCCTTTCTTCTGCTTCAGCCGGGATATTGCCCCCCACGCCGGACACGGCGGCAGCCTGTGATATGCCGAGGAAGGAGCTGGGGCTGGGGATGGCCGGCTGCAGTTCTGGCAGCTGTGACAGCATGGTCAGCACGGCTTCCAACCACTCGCAGTGCGTAAGTAACCCCAATGCGCCCGGCTCGGGCATGGCAGGGGCTCAACTCATCCCTCTCAGCAGCTGAGGAAGGATTTTTGGCCAGATCCCTGCTCAAAACAGCTCTCCATCAGTGCTTTGGAAGCACTGTGCTAAGGGCAGTGCAAGGATCAAATTAATTCCTGCCCCGAAGCACGCCCAGACTTTCCATCCTGCCAGACGTGTGGCAGCAATCAGGAGCTGAAGCTCCTGCAAGGTCACCCGGGGGGAAACGACACCAAGAGCCCAGCAGCTCCTGCATTGCCCGAAGATGCAGAGGGAGATAGCGCGGGCAGGAGGGGCCCAGCGGGTTCCACCGTGAGGGATTAGACCAGTTGGGTAACTGGGTCAGAGTGGCTCCAACGAGGGTGACTTCACCTGCAAAAGACAGCAAAGCCGTACTCCTCCCAGCTGACAAGAGATTATTTTCCTAGTTAAGGCAGAGAGGAGTTTGGACCATGGGTGTAGATGTGTAATTTTTCACTATCTGTCCATTAAAAGCCTGTTTGCCTCCAAACCCTGATGCCAAGATTGATGGACTAATTACATCCTGTCTGGCTTGGGGCGTAATTGATACGTGTGTCCTGAGCAGGTTTTCCATTTGATATACTGCAAACCAGAACCAAACCCTCTGAAATCTGTTAGGGATGGAAAAACTGGTTGCAATATTGCAAGGTAAAAGATTTGGATAGGTGTCTCCCTGCAAAACAGCTCCACCTGGGACAATATCTCCTCTGTGCTGGTTCATCTGATGCGCACTCCATCCTTTCCCGAGTCAGTGTTTTCATGCTATATTGCATGTATCACCTTGTGACTTGGCACTTCCACAGCAATCATATCCCATGATACTTGAAACACCACAAAAATTAAACAGGATCTTGCTGGGGTATGAGTGGGAGTAGAAGGAGAGGGACCACCACCTGCAGAGAAGCCCTCAGCATTTATGATACTTAGATTCAGCATTTAGGTACTTTTAAGATTCAGCATTGCTGACCAGCACAGACATCCGTACCTTTAGACCACCCATGTCACCCCTCTGCTCATATTTCAAAGTAAACTAAAAAACTAAATGGCAGAGGCCAAGCTTCCAAGTTAAGAATAACCCATCGTGTGATGCTTATGGTAGGGTAATATAAAAATGGCCTTAAGTATATACATAAAATTTTTTATAGGAAGTAATTTACTTTTCTCTAGCTATAAGTAGCAATTTTCGAGTAGTCACTGGCCAAGTCTCCTGGCCAGGAGCTGTCACAGGTCTCCTCTTAACAGCCAGGGCTGTGAGTAATAATACACCCATGTGTCCTACCTTTACTGCTTTTTTCCCCAGAGTGATAACAGTTATGACTACTTATCTGCAGAAGAGAAAGAGTTTTTGATGTTCTTAGAAGAAACCATTGGTTCACTGGATGCAGAGATGTTCTTAGAAGAAACCATTGGCTCACTGGATGCAGAAGCAGACAGCGGGGTCTCTACCGATGGGACCGACTACGTGGAGCCCTCCAAGCTGCCTGGGACATGGCCTAAGAGAGACTCCATTCCCCAGGGTAAGCTGGAATCCCGTGCTCCAGCCTTCTTTGCAAAGGGACTTTCTGGCTGGGGTGCATTCCCTTGGCAGGCAGGGAAGGAGCATTGCCCCAGTTTTCTGCATGTGGGAAGCTAAAGCCAGCTTGTTCCCAACACTCCATGGGGAGAGGTGTCTGGAGGCAATGAGATAGGTAGGGCACCAACTGCATTTTCCCAGTTCTCGCATGCAGGAGCTGCTAGCGGCTGCCAGCAAGGTCAGCAGAACCACAGGGCAGGGCAGAGCATCTTTGCCCGGGCTCTGAACAGGCTTACACAGATTAACGAGGCTCCTCACTTACCGCACACACATTTTCAAATCCAAAGTATCTGACTTTCTGAGCTGTGACAGCATGTTAACGGGGGCCAGGTGAACTCTTGGGTGCAAGTGCTCTGCCATGGGTGCCCTGGTTTAGCAGGTGTGACGAAGTGAGCCTTGCAAACAGGAAAGTGTCCTCTGTCCATCTGCAGAGTGGTGCATGACCTCACATCTCTCCCTTTGCCTAGATTTGGAAAATGGGGCTCCCCCTCTGAGTGCGGGTCAGCAGCACGCAGCTGAACAGAAGGGTGGCAAGAGCATCTCCGCCTTCTCAAGCTCAGCTCCAGCAGCGGCGCCAAGCCCAGGCTATTACAGTCTTCCAAGGACCATCACTGTAGCAAACCCACAAAGAGCAAACGGAGCTTCTGACGGCAAAGCGACTGTCTGCACGGTGGAGGACCCAGTGCCAGTAGGTAAATCGTCATGGGAGGTGGTCAAGGAAGACAGGCTTGACCAAGCCAATGCGAGAAGCCAGATAAAGCCGTTGGGGTCTTTGATTATCCAACCTCCAGATCCCTTCCAGGATGACCTGGTGAGCAATGAATGGTCACGTAGCAATCGCTCAGATGCCAAGAGGGAAACAGCCAACGAGACCAAGACTTGGACTTCATGGAGCCAGCCAGAGAAATCCGCATTGGAAGAGGCCCCTCACGACCCAGATGCCAAGCGCGGGCCTCCAACTGCCCCTAAACCACGAAAATTGCCACCAAATATTATCCTCAAAACCAGCAAAAACAGCCCAGCGCCGCTCACCACAGAGCCTGGCCAGAAGGTAAAAGTGCTACCTTCATCCTTGGCTGGCTCTCAGCCCAGCTCTGCCAATGATGCCACTGCTGAAAAAGTAAATTCAGGGCACCTTGACCCCAAGGAGAGGGAGAAAGCCCGGCGGGAGGCATTGGAGAAGCTTGGACTGTTGCAGGACAGGAGGGAGCCCAGCACCCACCTTCAACCCACCATGCATCCCCATCCAAGGGAGATGGCAATCCCTGTCCCTGGGGAGCCCAAGGCATGCTGTGGGGCAGCAGAGAGGTCTGTGCCGGCTATCCGGCAGATGAACTTCAAATCCAACACCCTGGAGCGCTCCGGCGTGGGGCTGAGCAGCTACATGAGCAGCACCAAGGAGCAGAGCGTCAAGACCAGCAGCTCCCTGGGGAAGATGTCCTTCATCGAGCGGCTCGCCCCGAGCTTCCTCAGGGGCAGCCGTCCCCGGCCAGGGAAGGACTTTGCTGGTCTGAAGGAACCCGTGCCGGTGGAGCAGGAGAAGAGCAGCAAGCGGCAATCCTACTCGCTGCAGAACTTCCCCAGGTCGCCCCGCTCCTGCGTCAGTGTGAAGATTTCCCCCAAGGGCACGACCGATGAGAACCGGCGAGAGGCACTGAAGAAGCTCGGCCTGCTGAAGGAATAGCTCTGCAGGCAGCGGGGCTGCTGGAAAAGGGGCTTCTCATCCTGGATCCAGGTGCCTTCACCATCTGTCCTCAGGCAGCACAACCATAAGCATCTTCTGCTGTGACCTCCTGCTCCAGCATCTTGGGAGGGGTACCACGAGAGGTATTCAGAGCTTCTCGCCAAATAAAGTAACGCCATGTGTACATAATGTTTTGTACATAGCAAGTGTATATGAGCTATTTATGTGAAGCATCGCTCAGCATGTGGATGGGGCATATTCTTCTACAAGGTCTTTAATGCATTTGTGGATTCATTGCAGTAAGGAAGCCGTGGAATTGGGGGCTTGGCTTATTTTAAAAGGGGTTGCCCACAGACAAAGCCACTCCGGGAAGAACTGCAGGACTCTGCTGCTCCTTCAGGATTTTAGGGGGTTTGGTTAACTTTATCCAAAGCCCGCGAGGCCTGAGCACTCACCCGCCCATGCAAGCGCCTCCCAAACCTGCCACATACAACACTGCCAGGCTGATGGGGGCTGGAGGGGACCCAGCAACGCTCCCCCCACAGACGAGTGCTCCTCGTACAGCACCCGCAGGCGGGAGCCTGGGTGGCTGCACAGACGTCCCACTGCCTCCTCCGCCAGCCTGCCCTCGCATCCAGCCCCGACACCCTGGATACAGCACTTAAAAGGCATCCACGCGTCGGTGTTTGTCACGGAGTGACAGTTAAACGACAGACTCTGTTTCCGTGGCAAAACCAGAAGTGCTGCCCAAACCAAGCGAGATGCAAATCCGGGACAACGCCATTTCATTCTCTTCCAAACTCTCCTCGCATCGTTCAGACCCAGCCAATGCTGTCAGCGTTTATGCTGTGCACCTTTTCTAACCAAGGTGGTTTATTTCTGTAATAAACTTGGACATTATCAGAAAATGACCGCGCAATACAGATTTACTCTTGTAGTTGAGTCAGAGCTCTGGTAAAGCCACGTAATGAGTTTTAGCCTTCAATATGCCTTGATTTGGGGATTGAGTGACCCAGAGAGCAGCCAGGCATTGCAAATGGTTTGAAGTTGCGCCAGGGCAGGTTTAGGTTGGACATTAGGAAAAACTTCACCGAAAGGGTTGTCAGGCTCTGGAAGGGGCTGCCCAGGGAGGTGGTTGAGTCCCCATCCCTGAAGGTATTTAAAAGAAGGATAGATGAGGTGCTTAGGGACAGGTTTAGTGGTGGGATGGCAGGGTTAGGTTAAAGGTTGGACTCGATGATCTCAAAGGTCTTTTCCAACCAAAGTGATTCTATGAGGTCTGAAGTGGAGACTTGGGCCTCCTGCAACCCAGGAGCTGCACGAGATGGGATTTTGTGTAAGCGCTTCCAGTACAAAAAGCAGATGCAAAGCCTGCCAGCCTGGGAGCGGTGACGTGGGACCTGCCGCTGCTCCAGGTGATCCCTTCCAACCCGCCCCATCTCCTGGCGCTGGGGGGACACCTCCCACAGCAGCCACGTTAGTTGGAAAGCCACACCAACAGCTTAGCTTGGCAAGATAGTTTTAATTTCTTCACCAAACAAATCTTTCATGCAATCCTGGCTTTCAGTGTTGGACTAGGGAGCGCCTCTGCTAAAAAAGCAAATGCCTTTGCTCCTAACAGGCAATTTAATTTCACATCTAACGCAGGCTTCCTTTCGAGAGAGGGGCTGACCTGCGGAGGCAATTGCACTAAACAATTTATCGATGTTAATTAACTGCTTGCAGCATTAAGATAAAGTTGCACTCAATCGTTTTCATCGCTGACCTTGCAGTACAATCAGCTTTTAAAGGAAGTGTTGTGAATCCTAAACAGGCTCTTACTGACAAAACCCAGGGCCCAGGCTTCTAATTCCTGTCTAAGTAGGCATCGGCGGAGCTTTGGTTTTGTATGGAAAGAACAGGAGGGCATCGTTCTGCAAAAGCTGCATCACTTCACAAACCCCCACGTAATAAAGGAACGAACAAGCAGAGGGAATAGTCCCGACTCACGTAGAGAATCCAAGGAACACGGGAGAATGGAGTCAGATTCATGAAAGCGGGGAAATGTTTGTCGTTAAGCAAATAGCTAAAGAGAGTTTGGGGCTGGCCAGCAGTAATGCAAACCTGTACATCAGGAAGGAAATGAGGAGAAGCCACACAGGCCAAGGGCTGACCCAAACCTCAGCAGGCTGCTCAGCACATGCGATGTTGCAGGTACGTTGGCTCCCAAAGGGAGGAAGCAGCCTGGGAAGGTATTAACTCCCCAGCCTGAGCCCAGCGCCTCATTTCACCCAGCATGGGGACGGCTCCAACCCCAGCGTGGCCGGGAAGCAGCTCTGCCCTGTGCCTGGGGCATCGCCAGTGCTTGAAGGGGTTTGTGGGTGTTTGGGCAGGATTAAGGCAGCACTGAGAGCTGAGCAGGGTGCACAGTGCCCACATGCAGCGCTCTGGGTGCAAGCCTGTCCCTATACAAGTGAGTCCAGTTCTCCAGAAAGATGAGGAACTCCTAGAAAGAGTCCAGAGGAGAGCAACAAGGATAATAAAGGGACTGGAGCATCTCCCCTACGAGGAAAGGCTGAGGGAGCTGGGCTTGTTCAGCCTGGAGAAGAGCAGGCTGAGAGGGGACCTCATCAACACATACAAATATCTCAAGGGTGGGTGTCACGAGGACAGAGCCAGACTCTTCCCAGTGGTGCCCAGCACCAGGACAAGGGCACAAACTGAAGCAGAAGAGGTTCCAGTTGAACGTGAGGAAGAACTTCTTGACTTTGAGGGTGACCAAGCCCTGGCCCAGGCTGCCCAGGGGGGCTGTGGAGTCTCCTTCTCTGGAGATATTCAACCCCCACCTGGACACTCTCCTGTGCCCCCTGCTCTGGGTGAGCCTGCTTGGGCAGGGGGGTGGCACTGGGTGAGCTCCCGAGGTCCCTTCCAACCCTTGCCATTCTGTGAGTCACGATAAACACGGCCAGAGCCAAGGTTCCCCCCATGAAACCTGGTCCACGTGGCCTTGGGAAGGTGCCTCTGGCCTGAGAGCAAGGGGGCTGCTCTGCACCTACAAACCGGGCGCTCGCATCTACACCATCCTGCCCCATTCCCCCCCAGCCACCTGCTTGTGCCTGGGGCAGGGGCCACCCTGGCTGAAGCAGGAGGCAGAAAGAGCAGCGTGGTTTTTAGGAAACCACTCCCAGATCCTGCAGAAAGCTCTGCAATGCTGAGAGGTAGCCATGCTCTCTGCAAGAGCAGGATCCGTCCATCAGCAGCGGGGCTTGATTTTGGGTGGCACCATGCAGAGTCATGTGTCTGCTCTTTTGTAAGGTCCCAGCCCAGAAGTCACACAGCCTGCGGGGGTAAACACCTTCGTTTCTAATGGCTGCAAACATATCTAGCCTGTAAAATGTCACATTTTGCTTGGAGGATTAAACAGCAACGCCCGCATTTGGAATGGGGCTTGCTCATGGGGAGTGATTCAACACGGAGGACCCAGCAGCAGCACAAGCACTTCACCCCGTGCAAAGGCAGAGATCTGGAGTTTGTTCCCAGAGGAATGATCCTGATCTCCTGTGGCTGTCATTTTCATTTGTTCCCTTTTGGTTCCATTTCATACCAACCGGGCCACACACACAACTATTAATGAACATCGCTCCGCCCCATCATAGCTTAATAAGCAATCTTTGGAAGTGGGATTTCTGCTAGGGAGCCTAACCAAAACTTAGCTTTCACACTTGACACATACATTGCGCTGTAGCGCTCCCTCGTTTTGACCAAATAAGCCAAGGATTGGAAGAGAATCCTTTGTTTCCAAAACAATCTGGTTTTAAGAAAAGTGAATCATAGAATTATAGAATGGTTTGGGTTGGAAGGGACCTGTAGGGGTCATCCAGCCCAACCCCCCTGCAGGAGCAGGGACACCTTTAACCACATCAGGTTGCTCACAGCCCCATCCAACCTGGCCTGGAATGTTCCCAGGGATGGGGCCTCCACCCCCTCTTTGGGCAACCCCTACCAGGGTTTCAGGCCAAAAATGCTTTGAGAGACTTTAATGGTCTCCTCCTTTCTCATTAGATAAAGAAGGTGAGATTACCTTGGAGACTGCAATAGTCACGTGCCTGCGTTATCCAAGTGATGGGCAAGAAGACAGAGCATTGAGCAGCATAATGCTGGCATCAGCGTAGGGGAAACAGGGCAGTCAGGAGAGGCACATGTGGATGAAAATGCACCATAAAACCACCCTCATTTTTATTATTCAAGGAAGGACGAGGAATAAAAGACAAATGTGCTGCCTTCACATTACTGTTCCTGCTAAAACTGCAAAGTCCACAGAGGTTTGGAAGAGAACAGAAAGCTCAGTCCTGACAAACGTGTCCACAGGTGCTGGCTAAGTTTTCTGTCTGTAGGATATGTCCACATGGTGGTAGTGGATGGGACAGGGAAGACTGAGCTCTGCTCTCACAGGAGGAGCTGGCAGCCCTGAAGGAGACAGCTTCTGCCTCAGAATGGAGAAATTTCTTCTAGAAGGGCAACGGGCCACAAAAGATGGAGCTACCAGATACCCTGCAAAAAGGGCTGAGCCCTTCACTCAGAGCTTAATCTCACATCTTCCTCTCCTCTTCCATTTGTGCTGTGCTCTCTCTGCCTTTAAAGTCAATCATCTACAGCCTGAGGAGTGCAGCCCTGGGTGGGAATCCCTCTGCTGCCCGACTGCACATCAGACCGATTGAAGCCCACCACTTCGCACAGCAGCACCAGATATTCCCCCTTGCGTTTGCAGGGGGAGCCAGGAAGCAGCATCAGCCTCAGCAGCCCCACATTTACAGCCACCCAGGTAATCCCCCACACCAGCCCACACCCTCCGCACCAGGCAGCAAGGACCACAGGGAGCAAAGCTCTCCTGCTCTGGTGTAATCCATAATCCACAGACCCAAAGGAAGGGATTTACCTTTGCTCTAGCCCAGCCTTTATCTCCAGAGTCTCCAGCAAGGAGCAGCTCCTCAGCCAAGCGCCCGTGGGGTCCCTGCCATCCCCTGATGCAAGAGCAGCCAGGACAGCCCCAGCCTGCAGATGGGCAGGAGCCCAAAGAGGCTGATGAGCATCTCTTTTGTAAGGGGAAAAAGCTGGTGGGCAATCAGATGAGCCCCCCCCTGCCACAGCTGATGCGAGGAGCAGCAGTGATGCTGTCCTTCTCACGGGGGGGCCAGGGAAGGCTGCTCCTGCCTGTTAATGGCTATTAGCGGCATTCGGGGGTGCCTGGAGGTGGGCAGGAGAGAAGCAAGAACAGAAACAAAATCTACCTCCAGGTTCAGCCAACTCCAGCCAAAGTTCCCAAGCTCTTGTCTGGGTACCTCTGGAAGCAGACTTGGTACTACTTAACTCTGGGCGTAATTTGCTTTGTTTGTGCCTGGAAGGCAAAATCACAGCAGACCCTAGCCAAAAAAAAAAAGCCGTGAAGAGATATCACAATATTTCAGAAGTAACCCAAAGCGTTGGTAGATGTCTCCTCAGCCCCTTAATGCAGATTATACAGACTGTGTCTACACAATGCAATGATGTTAGAAAAGACCCGAAGAAAACACTCAGCTTTGCATTTTGCAGGGAGTATTCATCTCCTTCTTAACTATCAGTCCCGTACTGGCTCAGACATATCATTTCCATGCCTAGGTGAGCCTGTCAAGACCTACTATTCCAACTAAAAGCATTCTTGCGCACATCTTTCATTACAAAGATC